CTCTCAGAAGATGCACGAAATGACAACACGTCATGTTTTTCCTCGCTTTACTTTTGTCTTTCCTCTTGCTTTCTCCCTACATCCATGCCAGAGTCCAGGTACGTAACCCACTATGCACATCTTTGGACACCCTCAGCCCGTTCCTCTAGTGACATGAAAACCCAGAACAAGGGCACCAGGATAACATCACCAGCTCTGCTCCACCATATCCAAGCTGTTCCTGAGGAAAAGTCAACCCTCAGCACTGTGGGGCAAGGACAGAGAGAAACTGCTCCCAGCCTCCCATGGGCGCAGAGCTCAAGCAGGCAACAGAGGCTTAGCTCAGACTGCTGCACCCCACAGCAGCCAGAGGACCAGCCCACCTCCCAAAAGAATGCTCTTCCCTGGTGCCCCAGAAATGTTCAACCAGATAATGATGCCACACTGCTCTTTGCTGAAGGGTTACCCGTACTTTGCAATAGTTAACACCATGCTTTTTATCATCAGTTAAAGTGGTGTCTGCGCAAAAGCATCGTGGAAGAAGTGCTGTTGATTCTTTGTGTTACTTCAGTGCCTAAGAATCCCTATGGTAACATTAAGACCACTTTTAACCTCAAAAACTGATTTCCTCTAAAATTTCTACTTCACTTCCCATCATGCCAGTAAGCCCTTTTCTTTTTGTAAACAAGATTTCTCTTGTATCACTAAAAGCTTTTGGTTTCCAGGGGTTCATGCTATTGTCATCTGCTCCCATTGTCATGCACCACCACTTGTCTTTGGCCTTGCTTACAGTGCCAACACAGGCTATTTTTATACACTTCTTTACAAAAGAGACATCAGAGTACATTCAGCATGCCCTTGGAAGAACACCACCAAAATGAGTCCGTTCCAGGCAGATGATTCCCAAGCACTGAGCTGTGAAAGCAGTAGTATTAAACACCCACCGTTCCCAGAGCTTCAGGAGCTCCTCCTTTCTGAGCAGCTGTAGAGCTCATGCTGCTTCACTCGCTGCTTAGAGCGCCCCCACAGGGCAAATGGTGATGGTCAAGCACAGAGATGATTGCAAATTCAGGTAGGAAACCCTGGAAGGGTATTAATTTCCAGGGAGTCACAGGCTGTGTCTCCATCAACGCCTACTCCGGTGCAGCAGGAGCAGTTCTGTAGGTTGAAGTAGTTCAGGCTCAAATTCCTCACGTGTGGACTCAGTTTAGCTGTCCCTGTTCTGCAGACCAAACTACCCCTGTACGTCCCACAGCTATTCCAAGGATCCTTTTCTTTCTTGGTTGGAGGTCCTATTTGAGAAGCACAAGGCTGTACTCTCACCCATCCCACGCAGATGACCTATGCCACCATCCCTATGGTCTAACACTATTCTTTCCCACAGCAACACCACTCAGTCCTACTCACAGGGAGTCTTAGGAACACCACAGCTGCCCGATCCCCTCCAAATTCCAAGCTGTGGTAACATTCAACAGCAAGTACTTTTAGGGGAGGGAGTAGGCAGGTTACTCCTGTGACTGCAGCAGGGAGAACATCCTAAGAGAATCTGGAGCACCTTTCACTTCTAAGAAACAAAATGCATTGTTTTTCTGGAAGTCTTTGCTGATGTAGAGTCAGGTTCTGGGTTTAAGATCAGCAAGAACATATGAGACAACAAGCAGCAAGCACAAAGTTTCTCCATGTGGAGGAGCCAGCATGTGGTAGAGCTGGCTTTGCTGTGAGCTGGCATGGCTTCACCACTCTCCTGTGAACTTGCAGGAGCACAAGCCCATGTTCAAGACTACAGCTGTTCCTTATACTCCCCAATGCCTGATGGCCAATGACTAAACAGTTCAGAGTGGGCATGGACAATGAAATCAGCAACCTCAACAAGAGCTTTGTATTTTTCTGAGTTCCTGAGCTGTATGGGTGCTGCTGATGGGAGCAATGTCCCTACCCACTGCTTGAGCAAGTACGGTTATGACTGTGTAAGTCCCAGCAACTACAACTTGGTTCTTACACAGATCTTGGTAGTACCTCCACTGAGCTAGATGCATGGACATGAAAAGCTCATAATCTTTGATTTCCATACCACCATCCACAGCCCTGCAGGGACAGCCGGTACACACTTTCTATGCAAGGAGAACATCTGCAGAAGTAGGGTGCCACTGCACTGTGGGAGACACTACCCAAGCCCCAGAGTCATGAGGTGCAACCCAGACAATAAGCCCAGTCTTTCCATCACACCCTGAACTACAGGAACCCATGGCACCTCACAGTCTCTGCAAGGACAAGGGGAGTGTGTCCTGGGACTGGGAGGGTCCCTTTGTCTGGCAGGTATAGGCACAGCTCTTAGCATCCTCTGGACCAGGCAGGACACTCCAGCACAGCATCTGGGTGTGGGATGTCAGCCATCCTTTTGACCATGAGGGCCACGAACATGCCGAGTCCGAGAAGGGCAAGGGAGTGAGCATCAAGGCTGTTTCCCCCATCTGATACACACAAGGGGAAGATTTAAAAAACGTTTGTTTGTACACTGTCATGCGAGTTGCTTACTTGGCTCCCTGCAGCAATGGGGCTGGAGGTGCCTGCACATCCCTTGTGAGGGTCTCAGCCTGCACAGTCCCTTCGCGTGGGGGGCATGATTCCTCCTCCTTGCCCTTTCACTGGCCCTTGCTGGCCACACACAGTATTAGCACTAACACTGCCTATGCAGCCCTCAGGAAATCTCAGACCTGGGCATTACTGATATGCTAAAAAAGATGAAGCTGACAGCTCAGGAGAAGGCTTCCTTGCTTCTCTAAGAGAAGAGAGGACATCTTGGCAGGGCCTTTGGCAAGGAACTAGCTGCAAATGTTCGAGGCAGTAAAACCTTGTTAGGAGACGACGGCTCAGCCCCCACCTCCCAGTTAGGCTCTGTGGAAGGGAGACAAAGCACTACACTGAAGTGTGACAGTTTGTGCTTATCCATAAGCACTTCACTCTCCGTGTGGTGCACAGGGACAGCCTGTCCACCAGCTCAGGTATAATGAAGCCTCCGCGCCAGAAGGGTACTAGATGACAGGTAGCATACAATACTGGACTTCTGCAAAACTGGCTTTTAAACCAGGGATTCCCAAATTCTGCTAGCTCAAGGTATGTCCAATTGTATGGGAAACCTATGGCTCTGCAGATTTCACAACAGTTCTCCACAATTCAAAGTACTTTGGAATGAAACAACCCAGCTGTCACAGTATGGAGCTGGCACGCTCACTGCAAGGCTTTGCTTGCTAGGCACAGCCTCAGAACAGGAGTGCAGAGAACTGGTTACAGATTACAGGTCTGGTGTGTGAAACGACTTCTATAGTGACTTGAAGAGGAATTTGCAACTCCAGACACCACGGGGAAATGTGCCTCCTCTGCCCAGAGGGGCAGAGAGGCTGAACTGCCAAAATCACACCCTTTTTCTCCCTAATCTTCTGCAAGTTCTGCATAGGCCTAAAACTGTTTTCTTCTATCTCTTGATTTTGATGCATTTCAATTTAGACACTAGCTCCGTGACTGATAATGTCCTAGCAGGCAGTTCAACAACTTTTCCCAATTCACAGTTCTCCCCCTCTTGTCAGAACTGTGCAAAAACACAGCAGCTGAACACATGGGAAGCGAACTTCAATAGCAGTTACCAAGATCTGTAAGTATCCAAGCTGTGCTTTTGCAAATCTGAGATTACCAGGAAAACCACCACAGCACTGAAAACAACTAAAAGATAGCATCTATAAATCCAAGATAGGTTAAACCTTAGTTAATGTGTCCTGTTTTCAAACATGATACCATGCATCAATCTGTTGATGGGTCCACCTTCTTCAAGGTATTTCCAGTCATTCCAACTATGACCCCTTCCTCCATCTTCTGAGATGGGAGCTTGGACAGAACTTCAAATGCAGCACCTTCCCCCTGGGACTTGGAGCCTCCAGTGCCTAAAGCCTGACACCCTTAAATACCAGGCCAACAGTCAATACCCATAAATTGCTTGAGGTCACTACCTTCTCTAGTATTTTACTCTCTACATGTAGAAATTATTTTTATACCACTTACTTAAGGTAGGTAAGCAATGCCTTATGTAACACTTAAAAGATAAAACACAATTTAGCCATACCTATACTGCAGGCCAGCTTGAGTTTATGCACGTTTTAAGCTAACTAAGCAAGTTGCCTTCAACAGTTTCTCTAGTAAGCTTCACCCTGTCTCAAAGCTCAAAAATCCAGCATTGATTAGTAAATAGTCAGCTACAGACATTCTTCCATCCAAGAAACCCTGGGCAGGTAGCACTGGTTGTCTTTAAGTATCAACAGATGAGAGGACTGCATTAGAACATCCAGGTAAGATATGTAGATTCAACAGACATGTGATAAGCATACACAATGCAAGTGTTCAGCTATGCCAGACAATTAAAAAGATAGAAATCAAATTATGAAGGCTGATGGAATTAAAGCCTTGTTTCTAAACTACTACTATTTCATAAGAATGCTTATTGGCCTCAGGATGTTCTAAAAATCCTTCTTTTACAGGTCACAATGGTTAAACCCCAAAATCCACCCACAGCCATTTCTCAAGAGGTTGCTTTCAAAAACTGTTTCCACAAATTTTCTTTGGTAATCTAAGGCCTCTTAGCCAAAAGCTTTTATCAATGAAATCTGAAGCCTATTATCCCTTTTCCCACAAAAAACCGCAAACCCTAAACCTTCAAGTGACACTGTAGAATTCTTGGTACATGCTCTTTGGTTGTTAGCGAAATATTCCACGTCCTCTCATATTACCGCATGATCATCGCTAAGCATTAGCAAAATTTCAGTGTCCCCAGGATTTATGGCTAAACTCATCAGCAAAAGCTGCAGATGATTTAAATGACCAAGCACTATGTAAGGCAAGTTAGATAAACAAACTTCAATGAAAGTTTTCTAAAGCATCTGTTCCAAAAACACAAAGGAATCAGCCACAATCACACAAACTTGTCCAAAATCAGTTTTTTTTATTTTTCGAAGAGTGCATTATGCCATGAATTCATAGGGAATTGGCTCCAGCAGCTCTGGATCCTTGCCATTTGTTCTCACAAAGTGTGCTTCTCTTGGTGGAGCAGGCTGTAAACAGAAAAAAAGAAAACTCATGGCAACAAAACTCAAAAGCAACCTTACACAAAATTAATTTTGACAACTATTTAACACCTTATTACAGAAACATTACAGGAATTATATCATTCCTAGTATTTTTTAAATTTAAGTCAAAGAATAGCAGTAAGAAAGTGATCTGCTAGAATGAAAACAAACTACACTTCACCCTCTGCAACTTCCTAATCCAAATTAACATAAAGTGATGTACTTTGCAGTTTCAGAAGCAACAGTCATTATCTCTCCTCAAAAGTCTAGTTATTAACTCTTTTCTTAAGAAGGCTGCAACAGAAACTATTGCTGCGAAATTAAACTAAGCCAAAGATAACACTGACCCTAGAAATCAGGCAGAGCTTGTGCTGGAGACAATAACAGAACAGGAAGCATCTGTGCCCCCCTTGCTCACAGCCAGGGATACACTTTCTACCCAGGAACAGTGCAGTTCTGTTCAGGCACTAAACATATCAGACAGTTCAGATGCAGACACACTGATGCTGCCATTCTCCTCTTAAAAAACCCCAAGTAACCTCCTGCAGAAAGACTGCAAACACAAGCAAGGGTGGTGGTATCAGACGTCTGCAACACAATCTGCCAGAGACCTGGATTTTTCAGAATGCTCTAAGCAACTTCATTCATGTGGGGTAGGGTTTTTATAGTTATTTTTCAAAGACAGACAGAAAGAGCTGTTTAGAGCATAACACTGTTGTTTTCAAAGAAAACTATTTAATTAAACTGGTTTGGTTCTACCTGGGGCTTTTTTTGGTTAACTGAATCAACAATGTGTCAACTACAACAAAAATATTACCTGACGTTTCAGCTGAACCCAAATGCCTTTTTCTTTTGCTTCCTTTTTCTTCTTTTCATTCTCCTTCACACGCTGCAGAAAGCTATCTCTGCTCTTGGAATGTTTAATATGCTCAATACGCACGTTAATTCTCTTGGCAAGGATCTTGCCCCTGAGAAAGGAGATCAGTTTTTATTCTACTGCACTTGAAAAAGGCTACTTCAAAGCCAGTTCTACAGCCCCTTACATGAGTAACTCCATAAGCTAAATTAGAGATTATTTTTCTTTAAAGGCAATCACTCCAAGTACACTGCTGCAGATGCAAATCAGATATAACTTATATAACTGAAAGCTTATTCATATATAACAATGTGCTGACAATTTAAGTTCAAAATTGTGGAGAACACAATTTTAACCCTGTAGCACTCAAACAAAGAATTTTACTACCACTGTACTCCAGTCCAGCTCCTGGAAAAAAAAAACAACTTGTCCTTTTCTGACTAAACTACAAAAATCCAGCTGGATACAACTACAAATTAGTATTTAAAAAGGCCTTCAGTACCAATGTGAAAGTCAGCTGAAAATCCCTAGTAGGTAGAACAGGAGACTATTTCAGCTGGAAGGGATCTACAACAATCATCAGTTTCAACTGCCTGACCACTCCAGGACTGATCAAAAGTTAAAAGCATGTTATTAAGGGCATTGTCCAAATGCCTCAAACACCAATGAGCTTGGGGCAATGACCAGCTCTCTAGGAAGCCTGTTCCAGCGACTGACCACCCTCTTGGTAAAAAAATGCTTCCTAATGTCCAGTCTAAACCTCCTCCTGTGCAGCTCTGAACAATTCCCACGCATCCTGTCACTGGATACCAGGCAGAAGAGATCAGTGTAATGTCACACTTTAAGCGCTGCTCAGGAAAATAAAAACTGTTTCCTCAGACAGGATCCAAGTCAAATGAGCATCATTTGCTTGGGTTATAAAAAGGATATATGCTTTACCCACCTTGAATGACCAATTAAGACAATAACTGTCTAACTGGCAAAGTGAAAGGAGGGTGCAATGACAGATCAACTTTCCCGAAAACAAAGTTTCAATACATGGAATTTGATTACTTACTTAACCTGCTTGTTAACGATAATACCCACAGCGTGTTGAGTAACATTATATACCCTTCCAGTCTTGCCATGGTAACACTTGTGGGGCATACCTTTTTGAACAGTGCCCATACCCTGTTAAGAGGTAAAACAAGAATAATGTGTAAACTTTAAGTTGGGGGGAGAACCAAAATAACATCAAGAACTTTTCTCTCAAAAGCTATTTAAAATACACACTTCAAATTATTTACGATTGATTTTAAAATACTTCTATTTTATTCATTCATTAGAATTTATAACCATGCATTTTATATCTGAAGACTACCAAATTCCACTATGACAATTCTGGTTGCTTTCAGCGTCGGTGAAATGACTGATCACTTTGCTTTCAGCAAGCAATCACAGAAGACAATCATCATCAAGCTCCAGTGTGTCAAGATGTGTTAATTCTGTACAGTGCAGTTCTCCAAGAGTCAAATGACAAACAAGCAAATTATGTATCATCTTCTGTGTGACTGTTACAAAAACTCTGCACTTCAAATAAAACTAAACTACAGACTCATTTTGAAAGTACAGTTGGTTTTAAACAAGAAGTTCTTTAAAGTGATGTGAAATGCTGCTTTACTTTTTTCCCCTGTATTAATATCTATGATGTACCCTTACATTTATTTCTTGGTTTCTAGTTTTAATGTGGCTTCACAATCACCGTCCCTGTACACACTTACTTTAAATAAGTACTACAGTGATACGGAGACACAGACATAACTATCAACTGCACCATCATAAACTATGGCTCTTCAGAGCAGCAGATGCAAATCAGGCAGGACAGAACACCTACCAAATTGACAGCCAGGGTTCCTACAACAGTAGTGCTGGTAAGCATCGTACAGCAACCTGAATATTAGATCTTTCACTTTTTTCAGCCAAACATCCAGTAGCAAAGCATAGCCAAATACATATATATATAAAAAATACACATCTATACACACAAATAAAAAAATCCACCTAAACCAGCATGTGACACTGAAATGTCACTACTGGTCCAGTACCATTATAATTCCATTATTGCTTCAAAAGTGAGCACTGGGTACTTGCATTGACACACATGACCCAAGTAACAAAAAAAAAAAGAGTACCTCAAGAAACAGGAGACTGCAAAGGATTAGACTGCTTTTGTTTTTAATTACATAGCACTATAGAAAGTACCTTGATATCAACTATATCACCCTTCTTGTAGATGCGCATATAGGTAGCCAGAGGGACAACTCCTGTTAAGAGATACAAATTTTGATACTCATGAAGTTCACGATTTCACACATGCACACGCAAAATGGGGTGGGGGACACAAATCACGCATTTTATTAAGTTTTCTTAAAAATACCTCAAAATTAATCCATTTCAAAAACATAAAACTGAGAAATAATGCCATCTTTTTTTTCCCAGCTGTAATTACATCACACGCTCACAATTTAAAAAAATCCAACTAAGGAAAAATTAAAACTTTAATCTTGTTTCTAATGAAGAAGATGAAAAGGCATTACAACTATTTACTGCTTCATTGTGAACACAGCCATTATCACTGTTCATTGCTACAAGTCAACAAACTGTACATTTTAATTAACTTGAAATATTTTCTTCACTTCACCTTCAAACTAATTTTCAAGCACCGATATAATTAGCACTGTTACTACCGTGAAGCAATCAGAACACCAATACATAAGCTGTAAGAACCAAGAGTTTACTTGCACACTGTTCCACAGTTTTTAGGCCAAGTTGACAGCTATCCTTTGATACAAGCCACTGTCTTACAAATGCTACTTAGAAACTGTGGACAGTCAAAAGATCAGTAATTTAACACTGCTCTCACTACACAGTATACTCACCATGCTTGCGAAATGGCCTTGAGAACATATAACGTGTTCCCCTCCTCTTTTTTGTGTTCGTCATTTTGGCCGATTACTGTAAAAATGGAACGCATATTATTTAAAACTACAAATTCATTCACTAAAAATTTGACTGATGGCATTTTTAGACATTTCAGAGAAATCAAGTCTTTAAACCTATTCAGAATGAGATCATTTCCAAATTCTGGGGTCAATTCAAATAGTGTTATTAGTTTAGGCATTCACAGAAAATGGTATTTAGAGGATACCAGAGTAACTCAGATTAGAATGGATGCTAGCAAGTCACCTAGGCTCAGCCTCCTGCTTAAAGCAGGCTGCTCAGAGCTTTGTCTAGTCCGGTCTTGAAACCCTTCAAGTATGAAGGGAGAATACTGCACAGCCTCCCTTGGGAAGCCTGTTGGAGGCCTGGGTATTCTCATGATGGAAAACGTTTTCTTTATATCCACTCTATTTCTTTTCACTTAAACCAACCCCAGCCGTATCCTATCCTGCCACACGCCCCTGTCAAGTACCAGGATCCACCTTCTGGTAACAGCGATGTCAGGTGCCCCTCAACGACCCCTCTAACCCAGGCCGAGGAAGCCCAGTTCCCTCAGCCTCCCCTCTTCAGGCATCCCAAAGACAAGATCTCCACTATCGGATTTATCGGCCCCTATCACACCTGACACCACGTATACACACTCCGCAGACCGACAGGGCCGTCATGCACGTCAGCGAAGCCCGAGTCCCACCGCACTCGGCGGCGCTCACCTCTAGGGCCTACCCCGGGAAGCTGCGCCAGGTCGCTCCCCAGCTCCAACATCCGGCGGCGGCCGCGGGGCTGACTCGGCC